CACTGGCCAAGCAATCTGAGGGCTACATTTTACTGGGGGCTCCTGAGCCTGCCTCACCTCACTTTAGGTGTCTGGCTGACCTTGAGGGGTCACTTGGTGACTAAGAAGATACTTGTGTGTGCTGACAATGGCCAGGAGCGCAAGATATTAATAAGACCAAAAACGGGCAAGGAGGGAGAGCCAAGAGAAACACCTGAGAGGAGCCTCTAGGCTGCCCTCTGGTGGCAGACTGAGAAACACTCACGCAAAGAAACCAAGGCTCTCAGCAGTGCTTGCAAGTTTAGAGATAATTAAAGGAATTCCCTAGAATTACATCCCAAGACCACACGGATAATATATGACAGAGTGAGGACAAGAGCCTGCATCACAGTCTGATGCTCTCACCACATAGAGATTAGGCTACTAAAAGGAAAACTGGGGCAATTGTTGACTGCCTTTGAGGATTTCAGGCTAAATTTGTTTTAATTCAACAAGTTTTTAGAACTAATGCCAGGCACCTAGAAGGCACTTAATTAAAAATTAGAAGCCATGGGGCAGGGAATGTAGCTCAGTGGTAGAGTAGTTGCTCAGTATGCACAAGGCCCTGGGTTACATCCCCAATGCAACACACACGCACACACACACAGAGAGAGAGAGAGAGGAATCAGGAGCCAGCTATGGTAATGCACACCTGCCATCTGAGTCTTAGCTACTTGGGAAGCTAAGGAGAGAGGATCACTTGATCCTGTGAGTTCAGGAGCATTCTGGGTAACATAGCAAGACCCCATCTCAAAATAATAAAATAAAATAAGGGGAGGTGATACTGGGAGTATGACTCAGTGCGTAAGGCCCTGGTTCCATCCCCAGCATCATGGAGAAAAAAAAAGAGAGAAAGAAAATAATGTACATCAAGAGAGCTTAAATTTATACCAAAACAAATCTTTTTTGGTCAAATGAATTCCAAACATAAAACTGGCAGAGGACTTGGGACTTCTCTCCTGGGCTCTTGCCTCAGATGTGCCCTCTGTTATCCCATCTTATTGCCATGATAGACATGCTTGTTTCCTCCCTAGAGCCAGAGCTCCTTGAGGGCAGGGAGGACTGAAACTGCTTCCTGGGATTGTCACCATGACCCAGCATCCCACACAGCAGAAGCTCAATAAATGCTGGATGTATGGACAAATGAGGAAACAAATGGATGGTTTGGAGTTTCCCTGTCTGGAGATCTTCAAAGCAGGGCAGACAACCATCTCCTCTGTCTAGTCCAAAGACATGATTCTCCTGCCCAAAGGCTGAGGGCTGTGCCCGATGCTTTCTCAGGGTAACTTGGCTTCTGTAATTAGACTATAGCAGGACACTAGTTCTAGATTCTTTTCTTTCATTGGCAAGCATTTATTGACTATCTGCCGTGTTCAAAGTACTATGCTATTGTTCTGTAGATCTGTGATCCTATTCTATTATTTAATTCCATGACTCCTTGTTGACATAAGATGTGACGCTGTCCCCACTGCATTCACTCCCAGGTGAGGTCAGCCAAGGCAGACAAAGAGCAATTGGCATTGTCTAACCTGATGGATAAGGTGACACAATGGGTTTCCCTGTGTTAATACTCCATAACATCCAGTCTCAGTCTCCCCAGCTAATAAACATGGCATGTTGAGTGCCAATACCCACTGCTATTAATAGGTATTAAAATCCCCAATGACCTCATGCTTCCTCCTTCTCTCTCCCTTTCAACCCACCTGTTGTATCGAACTGAGAATTGATTTGAAGCCAGGCAGTCTGACTTTGGCACATGTAATATGTCTTGCACAGGTGAGTTGCCTCTGTTAGTACTTAGTGAAGTTTCTTATTTTTTTCTATTATCTTTCTTTCATTCATTTATTTATTTATTTATTTATTTTATGGTGGTACGAGATGATGATTTAACAGAAGGGCACTTTAGCCAGGCACTGTGGTGCATGTCTGTAATCCCATCTATTCGGGAGCCTGAGGCAGGAGGGTAGCAAGTTCAAAGCCAGCCTCAGCAAATTAGCAAGGCCCTAAGCAACTCAGGGAGACTATCGCTAAATAAAATACAAAAAGCATTGGGATTGTGGCTCAGTAATTAGGTGTCCCTGGGTTCAATCTCTGGTACCAAAAGGAGAACACTTTACTACAGAGCTACATTCCTAATCCTGTTTAGTTGTTGTTGTTGTTTGTTTGTTTGTTTTGTTTTGTTTTATTTATTTGTGTGTTTTTTGGTTTTTTTGAGACAGGGTCTCAATAAATTACTGAGACTGACCTCAAACATGCCATCATCCTGCCTCAGCCTCCTGAGTTCCTGGGGTTACAGGGTTGTATCACTGTGCCTGTCTAGCATAGTTTCCTAATCTGTGAAATAAGGCTAAGAATTTGTTTTATTGAACATCTTCTGGACCAGAGACTAGGAGAAAAGTAAGGGATACAAAAACAGCTCCCAGTCTCTGCTCTCTTTCTCTCTTTACAAGGAGAGAAAGACATGGAAACCAACATAATGTTGAAGAATTAAATAAAGTAGCAGGATGTTGCTAGGGATGGTGGCCCACACCTATAATCCTAGCAATTTGGAAGGCTGGGGAAGGAGGCCAGCCTGGGAAATTAAGTGAGACCCTGTCTCAAAATTTTAAAAAAGACTGGGTACAGTAGTGTATGCCTGTAATCCCAGTAACTCCGGAGTCTGAGGTAGAAGGATCAAAAGTTCAAGACCAGCCTCAGCAATTTAGTGAGACCCTTCTCAAAATAAAATAAAAATAAATAAATAAAATAAAAGGAGCTAGGAATGTATCTCAGTGGCAAAATGTCCCTGGGTTCAATCACCAGTTATGAAGGGGAAAAAAAAAAAAAAAAAGGAGTAGCAGAATGTTAAGAACTGCAGATGTAGCTGGGTACAGTGGCATATGCCTGTAATCCCAGCAGCTTGAGAGGCTGAGGCAGGAGGTTCATGAGTTCAAAGCCAGGCTCAGCAAAAGTGAAGTGCTAAGCAACTCAGTGAGACCCTGTCTGTAAATAAAATACAACATAGATCTGGGGATGTGGCTCAGTAATCAAGTGCCCCTTATTTCAATCCCTCGTAACCTTCCATCCCCCCACCCCAACAAAAAGGTACATTAAAAAGTGATGAGAGCCCGGCTAGATATGATGGCACATGCAGCTCAGGAGGCTGAGGCAGGAGGATCCCAAGTTCAAAGACAGTCTTAGTAACTGAGCAAGACCCTGTTTCAAAATGGAAAATAAAGTGGTCTGGGGATGTGGTTCAGTGGTTGAGCGCTATTGGGTTCAATTCCTGGTACAAAAAAAAAAGAAAAGAAAAGAAAAAGAAACAAAGAAAGTAAAGAAAGTGATAGAGCTAGGGCAAGCCTGATGCCTGTAATCCCAGCAAATCAGGAGGCCGAGGCAAGAGGATGGCAAGAGGAGGCCAGCCTGGCCAATTTAACAGAGACCTTATCTCAAAACAAAAATTAAAAAGGGTTGGGGATGTAGCCTGACAGTAAGAGCTCTTCTGGGTTCACGCCACAATACTGTGTGTATGGGGACTGGAGGGGTGGGGGAGGTTTGAAAGTGGGACCTGGAAGGGAAGGAGGCCAAGCAAGTGAGTAAAACCATTGGAAGTCTCAGGGAGGGCAACTTTGGTACAGGGGACTGAAGTACTGATGCCTTTATATTGTCAGTTATTCATATTGTCCCCTGGAGTGGGAGTGGGAGTGGGTGTGGTTGTGTGGGAGGATGTGGAGGGAAACTTCCAGCAGGAGGCACCAGGCAAAGTTCCCTGCAACCCAGCCAGAGGCATGGGTAGGGCTACTGGGAATGATACAGCACACTGGGAATCAGTCACTAGGCACTAAAATGGTGGAGTCTACAGAGAAGAAATGTACCAACACAACTGTCTCTGCTCCCGAGAGGCCATGGCCTGAGAGGGGAAGACACGGTGAATAAAATCATTGCCCGTGTGTGTGTGTGTGTGTGTGTGTGTGTGTGTGTGTGTGTGTGTGTGAACCCTGGTGCAGTAAAGCCTCCCCAGAGGGGGAACAACTGGTTGGGGAAAGGGCTAGGGGAGGAAGTCCTGATCTTCCAAACAGAGGGAAGGCACTTGCACAGGCAGAGGCCTGCAATTGCCTGGCCACCCAGGCTCCTGGGTCCTTCTGCCGCTTGCTTAGCCTGCTAGCCCAGAGCTGCCCTGTGAGCACCAGCTGGCAGCTTCCTCCTGCCACAGCCTGCCTTTCCTCCAGGTCCTGCAAGGGAAGTACTTATGGGAGCCTCCTCTGACTATTCCTACCACGGTGGTGACTCTAAACTCATAGTGTTTACTGCCAAAGCCACTACTTTGGTTCTTATTCACATACTTAGTTATAACTCAGCGGTAGAGTGTTCACCTAGCACGCCGGAGGTGATGGGTTAGCTCCTCTGCATCACACACACACAAAAATAAACAAATAAATTTAATTTATTTTATTTAATAATTTAAATTTATTTAATTTAATTTAATAAAGGTGTTGTGTCCAACTACAACTAAAAAAAAATAAAATAAATAAATGAATCCTGTCTCTCTTGGCTTCGTTTTAAATTTCCTTGAGAAGTACAAATTTTTATTGTTTATATTCTTATAATCTCCCATGGCTCCAGGAATTGGAGGACATATTAAGGGTGTAAGATAATAAGTGAATGGGTAAATATGATCTATTTGGGGGACTATTGAATCCTACTAGGGTCCAGGGCAGGTGGCACACTCCTGTACTCCTAGAGACTGGGAAGGCTGAGGCAAGAGAATCTCAAGTTAGAGGCCAGCCTGTTAGCGAGATTTGTCTCAAAGTAAAAAACAGAAAGGACTAGGGATATAGTTGGGTGGTAGAAAATCTCTGGGTCCAGTCCAGAGTAATCATCCTCCACCCGATGTCAAAAAAAAAAAAAATCCTCCCAGGCTTACCCTTATAATTCTTTTATGTTATAAAATTATTACTAAACCCTAAGCTTATTTTTTATTTTTTTATTTGGGTCATCTGTAGGTTCCAATGGGAGTTACCACATAAGCAAACGGGATACTAAGGGGTAAGTTTAAGGTCATGTACCTCAATTTCTTTTAGCCCCTCCTCAACCCTCAACCTGGTCAGCCATTTGATTAACACTAGAGTTAAGAATTTGGGCTCTCTGAACCCCTGCCTTTTAAAGTAACTGTTTCATAAAAGAATTTTGAAAAACTATGTACTCCTTACACATTTTTAAGACAACATCTAACAGTTTAAATATGAAGCTAAATTTGAAAGGATATACTTTCCAGGGATTTAAAGTACTTACCTGTGAAAAATCACTTCACTCTTTTAAATGTAGCAGGTGGAATATAATACCATAGACTTTTATATCTATTTAAGAAATATATGAACAAGCCCTTGTAGTGGCACCCCCTTTCTCTAAAAGAAAAAAATCTTAACTGGGCTTCTCCACAAATCTTTACCATGGTTGATTTTAGTAGTGTCAGCAAAAGAGTCTCTACAAAAATGTTCAATGTAGTTAAACTTCCTATTATCCTGTTGCTCTATTTTACTTGGCCATTGGCCAGGAAGAAATCAGCACTTCAGGTGCTGAACACCCCTTTACTTGTTTTTCACAAACTTGTAACCAGTATAGTGGTTTGTAGAAGTGTGTTTGCAAATGAAAGATGTAATTAAAAAAAGGACAAATCCTATAACAAGGCCTCTGGCCTTGAGCTGGAGCTTCACAGAGATGTCTACATTTCTATGATAAGACAAGTTACCAATTGGGCTCCGTGGTAACAGCTAACAGGGGAAGGAAAGAAAGGGGAGAAGAAACTCTCCCCTTCTTAGGTATTGTCCTTGAAGGGTTAACTTGCCCAGAACAGTGAAAGAAAGAGCTGCTTTTATGTGAACTTCCACAGACTGTGAACTTCTGAACCCCTCCCTTTACATGCTGGGTATAAAATTCTGAAACTACCTGAACTCAGGGTTCAGGGAATTGATTAATTATAGTAAAAGCTGTGCCCTCTGAACCTGGCTGCAGCCAAATAAAACTGTTTCCTGCTGTCTTTGGTGCCTTGCCTCGTCTGTCCCTACAATACTTTTTAACCAAATAGAAATTTGCCTTGTTTCTTTTTCTCTTTAGTTCTTTTTCCAGTCTCCTTTTCCTATAGAATCTCCCCTAATAAAATTTATTTTTTATTGTAGATCTCTTTTATATTTTGTTGTATACCTTTTTTACTAAGTCTTTTATTATATATCTCTGACAAAATGTGCATATAAATTGAAATTTATTTCTTACAATCATAAGACTCTGTTAAATGGTTCTTCTTCACTGGGTTATTGTAAGACAATTGGTCAAAATAACAAACATGGCAATATTTAGTCATTAAAAAGTAAACTTTTATTGAAAATTATTCTCTTAATGAGATGAAAAGGGCTGATTTATATTTCCCATTGGATTCTTTTTTCTTTTTTGGTGATGTTGGGGATTGAACCCAGGACCTTATACATGTGAGGCAAGCAGTCTACCAACTGAGCTATATCCCCAGCCCCCCATAGACCTTAATTTGGCAGCTCCAGGAAGAGTACCCTGTTAGGCTCAGGGTACTTATATACATCTGGAAACTGATTCCCTTAAAACTGCCCATATGCACTGGATGTGGTGGTGCACACCTGTAATCCCAGTGGCTCGGGAGGTTGAGGCAGGAGGATGGCAAGTTCAAAGCTAGCCTCAACAAAAGCGAGGTGCTATGCAACTCAGTGAGACCCTGTCTCTAAATAAAATACAAAATAGGGCTGGGGATGAGGCTCAGTGGTTGAGTGCCCCTGAGTTCAATCCCTGTACCCCAAACAACAACAAAAATACTGCCCACACACCCCTGGGAAAGTTTGCATGTACTGCCAGAGGCATGCAAACTATGAGTCATTAAAGAAAGATCTAACTTCCTTTCTCACTCTTCAGTACAGGGGTCCCATAAACAAGGAACTTGGGTCTGAACACCATTGTGATTCTGCTAGATGCATTTTCAAGGCAGAGTCCTGCACCTTTTTGCATGACATGTAGGTAAGATAGAAACTCAGATTACTTCCAAACCTCTGCAAATTGAGGGCTGTGAGAAGGGCATCTGAATATTCAAAAACATAATCAATGGTAAAGAAGTGGCCTAGATTCCGAAATAAGAAAACATGGTTTTTATTTTTCTATTTTAGGGAAGCGCCATCCTTGTCTACTGATGGGTCCCAGTCATATACCACCAGGTGGCAGCAGAGAGCACAGTCTGCTGACCTGGCCCCAGAAATCCCAGGTCCCAGGGATGAGGAAGAAAAGGTGGAAGGTAGGGGCAGCAAGAGAACTGGGTGAGGTAGGAGTGTGAGCTTATGCTGTCAAAAAAAAAAGAGGGAAAATATGGGGACTAAATAGGGATACCAAGGGGTGACAAAACATTGATGATTCCTTCTGAAATCAGAATAAGTTGAGGGAATGAGGAGTTAGGCAAAATTGGGGAAATTTTAAGGGGAAACAAAAGGGTAGAGATGGGCTTGGGAGTACTCTGCCTGGAGGCCCAAGTCACCTGGGGATCCCTGTTATCTGTACTCTTCCTGGGGAGGGTCAAGGTCTGGCTCATCCTGAGGGCCATGGTCTACCTCAGGGGCAGGTGGCCATGGGTTTTCTGGGGGCTGGGGTCCTGCTGGCCAGAGGTCATCAAGCCGGGGAGGTTGAGGAGGATCAGTTCTGGGTGGCTCAGGGGGCCAGGCACTAGTTTTAGGCAGGGGACTGGTAGGGCTTGGAGTTGTAGGGTCCTCAAAGAAAGGGGGTGACCCTGGCCAGGGGTCACCAGGTATCGGAGGGCCCCGAGGAAATACTGGGGAGCTCTCCTCCTCTCTGCCTTCTGTGGGTGGGGTAGGAGGTTGGTCCTTGCTGCCTGAGATTCCTGTAGAAGAGGAAGGAGAAAGGTAAGGGGTGAAGAGGAGCAGTTACCCCCCCACCCCAGCTACAGACCAGGAGACAGAATCTCTTTGGGATGGACAGTCTGAGCTGTCCAGCTAAACCTCAAAGTAATTTTCAAAGCACTCTCCATACATTTATCACAGTCTTAAAATGACATGAAAATTGATTTTGAGCCATTCATTTGTCCAATGTTAAGGGCCTGACACCTCCCCCAAATAATCTTCATTCTATGCCCACACCTGGCTAGCATGGGCCCCACTGTACCCCAAAGTGGTCTACACTTTGGCCACATGTGGCATCCACATCCCACCTCCACAATGATCCTAATACATTCCTTCCTCAGCCAACATATCTGAACTCTGAAACAGCCACATGGTCCCACCCCAAAGAGCAAAACATTGATTCTGAACCAAAATGCTCTGAACTATACCCTTCATATAAATTTTCAGAATCTCTTCCACCTTTGTGTGCCTGATTCACCCCTTTCCTTTTTAGTGGTTATCTTCACTAAGGGTTGGTCATCTTGGCCATCCCCATTACCCCTGATATTCCTGGCCTGCTCCCAGCTCACCTCCAATAAACAGGCAAAGGACCAGGATCCCCAGTAGCTTCCAGTTGATCATCATGGCTGTCTGCTGGCCCCCAAAAGTGGGGTGCTCTGAGTCTGGGTGTCTGGGAATCCCAAGAGGCTTTATAGGGGAAGATGGAGAGGAGGAGGCCGGTCTATAGGGAGGGGCCGGCCCAGTGGCACAAGGAATCCCATCAGAATCAAACTGGTCAAACCCGTTGGGAAGGCCCTGGCTAAAATGAAGCCTGACTATGGCGTCTCTCATTTTAGTCCCCTAGCCCAAGACCTAATCACTGGCTCTCACTATCATTGACCCAGATGATCACCCCACCCTTGTTTTTACACCAGCTCCATCCACACTCTGCAGAAATCTATACCCACCTGTCATCTTCATAATCACAGGGACCTCCACCCTTTCATCCCTGATAGCTATCAGAAGCCAAAGAATGGGAGCAACCCCCGCTTGGGGAAGCACCATAATTATAAGGCTGTGAAGCAGGACGCTTGAGCTGAAGTAGGGGGAGCCTTTGAAACCTGGGATGCAGCTGATACAGTGTCCACTACATGCCTGCCTCAGCCCCCTTACCCTTCATTTTAAGGGCTTCCTTCCTGAGGACCAGGCGTGCTGCTTTCTGGCATGTGCCTGCTTAAATGGGACTTCCCAGTGACAGCCAAAGAATTCCATGTGGGAGGCATCTGGGTGACAATGAAGAGGAAAGACACACGAGGATATCCTGCTTCCCTTTCCCCACCCCAAACTGGTGGCATTAGTCTCCAGCCAGAGGTTCAGGAAGAAGCTGCCCCTCCTGTAATCCTGGCCTCTTCCTCCTTCCTCAGGAACTCTTTGCTCCAGCTTTTTCTGTCCCCATTTTCAGGTCTCAGTTCAAAAATGCATCTTCTTACAACATGCTAATTGAGCTGGGCATTGGGGCACATGCCTGTACTTCTAACTACTCTAAAGGCTGAGGTAGGAGAATTGCAAGTTTGAGGGTAACTTCAGCAACTTAGAGAAACCCTGTCTCAAAAATATAAAAAGGGCTGGGGGAGCTGAGGGAGCTCTGCTCAGTGGCAGAGCACTTGCCTACCATGTAGGAGGCACTAGGTTCGATCCTTAGCACCACATTAAAATAAACAAAGGCATTCTGTCCAACTAAAATTTTTTTAAAAAATAACTTAAATAAAAAGGACTGGGGATGTGGCTCAGTATTAGAGTTCTCTCTGGGGATTCAATCCCCAGTACTACAATAAATAAATAAATAAAAATAAATTGAAACTGAAGCCCCTAGAGCTTTCTATTGACTTTGAATAAATTTTAAATTACTTGCCAATATTGGCCTCTTCCCCAACATCCTCTGTCTGGGTCCCCTTAATCTCTCCTGGCCTCAGCACAAAGTTCCTTAGCCCCTCACCTAAAGCTGCCCCTCCCAGAGCCCCTTCTATCATATATCTATATCTCACTTTCTCTTCCCAGCTCTCCTTTGAAGCACTCATTTATTCTTTTTTTTTTTTTTTTTTGAATTTTTTAATATTTATTTTTTAGTTCTCAGCAGACACAACATCTTTGTTGGTATGTGGTGCTGAGGATCGAACCCGGGCCGCACGCATTCCAGGCGAGTGCGCTACCGCTTGAGCCACATCTCCAGCCCAGTACTCATTTATTCTGAGGTCCTTGTCTATTTGTCTCTCCCATTAGAACATAGGCACCTGGGTGCAGAGGCCTTGCCTGGATCTAAGATTTTTGTTGAATGAATGAATGTTTATCTTTCTCTCTCCTGGCATTTATCACATTCCAGAGGAAAAGAGTTTTAAAATAAAAAATGAGAATAAAAGAAAACAGGAGCTTCTCAAAAGCTTCTAAAACAGGATAGAAAAGATGTTTGGAAAGAGGTACCACTTTTCACAGTCTCAGGAAGAATTCTCCAAGATAACACTTCCAGACAGTGGTTCAAGTGGAGTCATCTTTATTTAGTGCAGGAGAATTTAGACTTAGAGGAAGTTGGTATCTGTGAGGCTGGAAGGGGAAGTAGACTGGGCTGGCCCCCTCCCATTCTCCAGGATCTTTCTGGGGATTCAGCCCTTGGGCAGGCTTCACCTCCAGCTCTCAGCTGTAGCTACTCAGGTGTGTACTGGAGCAGAATTCTGGTTGTCTCCTTGACAAATAACTTCCTCCTTGGAAATGGCCTCACTCAGGCCCTGTAGACTATCAAGCAGGACAGAGAGGGACTCTGGGAAAAAAAGACACCCCAAGTATAGACACTGGTACTGGATATGATGGTATGAGGGACAAGTTTCTTGGGTCAAAGGTGGGTGTGGGTGGAAGAGGCCAAGGCATACACAAACAAAAGGGTCTGGAGTAGATGCCAGGGGTGCCCCCATTTGTCGCTTTATGATTAGTCCATTACCTTTTGTGGGCCCCCTGGAGGACAGAGCTGCTGCTGGTGGTATTGAGGATCCGGGAGGCCTGGGGCTGGACTCCACAGATTTCTCCTTATCCAGTATGGAGGGAAGAACTGCCAACAGTCGCTGCTGCTTGTAATGGGAGAGGAGACCCGCCTGCTGCAAGGTGGCCTGGGAAGGAGAGGGTTAAACGCCACCTAGCCCGGGGAAAGCCTTCCCTCCTTTTTCCACTCCTTTACCTATCAACCAGTAAACCATGGGCCCTGGTCTCTTCAGTCTCCTACCAGCATGATGTTCTTGTCCCTCTCCAGGTCTTGTACTCGCCGGGTCAGCCGCTGCCCCTCCTCCTTCCGGGCCTCATCCTGCAGACGCCTGAGCTCCTGGTTCCGCTCCTTTTCTCTAGTGGCTTTACGTTGGATCTGGCGCAGAGACACCTCTGTGGAGAAGCCAGGGTGGAGAGGGAGGGTATGGGTCATCCTAGAGGTGGCCAGGCACCATGAAAACAAAACTGGAATGCCAGGGCAGGTGCCCATATGGGAAGTTACTCTACTCTGTGGATCCCAGTGTCTCTTCCATTCAGCTGGACAGGTGGGATGATGTTCCAGGTTCCTGTGTATCTGTGAACCCACGTACCTCTCCCATCCCCCAATCCACCCAGGAGTTCCTTAGGGGAGAACTGAACATGGGCTAGATATTAGATTTTGTGCAATTAGTTACTCATATTCTTAAAGTATGATCATAGTATTGCAGTTACACAGAAGTTCCTATTTGTGGGTGATTTGGCTGAACAATCATGTTTGCAATCTACTTTAAATAATTAAAAAATGTATATATAAATATGTGCATGTATACACAAGAGCAAATGTGGCAAATGTTAAATGCCATCTCTAGTTAGAGAAGATACATTCAATAAAGGACTTTTTGGCGGGGGGTGGGTACTAAGGATTGAACTTACACTCTACCACTGAACTACATCTCCGGTTTTGGGTGTGCGTGTGTGGTGTTTGGTACAGGAGGCTGAACCCAAAGGCCCTCTACCACTGAGCCACCACCCTAGCCCTTATTTTATTTTGAGAAAAGGTTTTAGTAAACTGCTGAGGCTGGCCTGGAATTTGCAATCCTCCTGCCTCAGCCTCTCAAGTCACTGGAATTACAGATGTGTACCCCCATGCCAGGTACCCAAGTACTTTTTTTTTTTGAGACAGGGTCTCCTGAGTTGCTGGGATTAGAGGATACACCACTGCACTCAGTGTGTGCTGTTTCTTGACATGACACTAAACTTCACAGTATGTCCACAGGTAATGTGCCATTCCTATCCCTTCATTTGTGGCCTGCCTCAACAACAAGTTTTAGTGGGGAATAATAACTTTCTGTCTCAACAGTTCCTTCATCCTAAAAAGCCTACATCTACCCTGGCACATCTCACCAGCCTTGGCCTGCTCCTTCCGAGCCTCATTCAGTCTCCTCTCTGTGTCTGAGAGCTGTTCCCGAAGTCGAGTCTCCACCTCAGCCACCTTCTCTTGCAAAGCTGGGATGAAGGTGCAATGAGTGTCAGAAGGAACCACCCCAGACCACAAAGGGGTGCACACTTCCCCTCCCCCACACCTTGCCCATAGATCTTCTGCTGCTGAGTCAGCTCCTTTCGGAGACTGGCAGCCTCTTCAGTGCTCTCCTGCTGGCTCTGGCGAGCTGCTTCCAACTGTAGTCCTAGGTTGGCCAGAGACTCCTGGGTTTGCTGTAGTTCCTGCTCCAGCTGCTGGGCCACCTTGCTCAGCTGCTGCCGCTCTGCTTCCCCTTAGAAGAATATGCTCACTTAGACTTCTTCTTGTGCATGTGCTCTAGATGTCAAGTCTTCCCTCTTCTTCATCAACGTCCCCCATCTATTTATCCATCCATCTACATGTACCTTGCTCCCGGGCCCGGCCCACTTCCTGTTGGATGACATGGGCACTCAGCTGCAGTTCCGAATCCAGGCGATTCCGTTCTTCCCGCAGCTGCTCCAACTCAAGGTTTAAATCTATGTCAGGTGGGGGTGGAGGTGGGGGAGGGGGTGGAGGTGGAGGGCAGCTAAGACAGAAGAGAAACAGAGTCAGCTGTTGGCTAAGGAATTTAGAGCCCCTATCCCTCCTCAGTCCTCATTGTTTGGGATTCCAGCAGCCAACACCCTAAAGCTTCACCCCCCCCATAACACCCCCTCCACCTTAAAGTGCCCAGACTTTACCTCTCCAGGCGCAGCTGGGCCAGAATCAGTTTCCGAGCCATCAGGCCTGGGAAGAGGCAAAAAGAGATGAGTACACAGAGGAAAAAAGGACAGACAGGGGAGTAAGGGAGAAAGAAATGCTGGGGATGGCAAGAAGGAACCAGGAGGATGGATGTGGGATCAGAAAGAGCTGGACCAGGAAGATGATGGACAAAGCAAGCAGGATGCACTCATAGTTTCTCTACCCACCCTGAATGGTGTGGACCTTGCGGACAGCATAGCTAAGTCGGTTGCTGAGGCTGGGAAGCCGGGCTATAGCCTGTTCCACCTTAGTCAGAGTGTTCTGGAAGCAGATCTGAGAGCTGGAGAAGGTACAGGTCATTAACCCTCCACCCTCACCTCAACACCCAAAGGCCTGCAGGGTATTGTACAGACAACACTGTTATACAAGTGAGAAAAGCAGAGAAGGGGAATATGAGAGAAGAAAAGAGAAGCTGAAGCCACGGGGAAGGGTAAGACCTTAGTGCCCAGTCACTGTGCCCCATAATGGAACCACCACGTAAATCATATCTAAATTCCTTAGCCAACAGAAGCCGAGAAACTGAATGCTTAAGGCCTTTAGCAACTGTCAGATAAAATAATCCAACTGCTAATAAAACACAAATATTCACCAAGTCATTCCTGGTAGCAAATGCTACCAATAAGCTACTTCTACAGCACTTTTTTTTTTTTTTTTGGTACTGGAGACGGGACCCAGGAATGCTTTACCACTGAGCTACCTCCCAAACCTTTTTCTTTTTTTATTTTCAGACAAAGTCTTGCTAAATTGCTTAGGGCCTCATAAATTGCTGAGGCTAGAGTTGAACCTGTGATTCTTCTGCCTCAGCCTACTGAGTTGCTGGGATTTTAGGAGGGTGCCACTGCATTCAACTCCTCAGTACTTTTAATTTTTTATTTATTTATTTACTTATTATTATTTTAAGTTATAGATGGACACAATACTTTTATTTATTTTAATGTGATGCCAGGGATTGAACCCAGTGCCTCATGAAGGCTAAGGCAAATGTTCTACCGCTGAGCCTGGCCCAACTTTTTTAAATTTTATTTTGAGACAGAGCTAAGTTACCTAGACTGCCCTCAAACTTGTGATCTTCCTGCCTCAACCTCCCAATTGTTGGGATTATAGGCATGTGCTGCTGTGCCCAGCCTGATCAGTGTTTTTAATTATAGCCCTGTAAAAAAATAAAAATAAAAATGACAACATTTATGAGGTCCTATCTCATCTTGAACTATAGCCCATAATTCAGGAAAGTGTTCAGTAACCATTCTGTAGGGGAAAGCATAGCTGGTACCATGAGGCTGGATA